CAAAAGTTGCCAAAAGAGGCCGTCCGCCAAAGAAACAGCCTGAGCCATCTTCGATTGACCGTACTGCTTCTGAAATTTCAGCTGATGCGCTCATTCCTGGAGGAGATAGCTCTAATAAGTTCTCTGGTGCCTACAATCTAAGAAAGACTCCTCCTTCATACAAATTCCGTCAAGCAGAAACTTCGGTTAGGATCAATCATAACAGCGAAACCCAAAGTGGCTGGTCAATAGATTGGGAGAACGAGTTTCCACGTAAAAGAATCTTGGCCTCTGCTCTACCTTTTTGTTAGACTCTTCTTTTTTGCCACTATGAACCATCTTCTTGGTTTATGTGCAGCTTCGGTTGTGAAGGCGGTTAACAAGTATGGGATGAAACATTTCAATGTCGATGATAACAGACGAGATACCTACAACCACCTCTCTACTTCTAGCCAGGAGCCTTCGGTTTTGACTACGCTTGAAGACGAGTTAAAACAACTTATTCCAGTACGTTATTGCTCAACTCTGTTATATTATATCCTCCGTATAGAGAAACAAGAGTCTGATCACTCTCGTTTCTTATTTATCAGGTTGGGCTGAACACTGAGTACGGTTACGCAAGGAGTCTTGCACGATATGCTGCGAATCTTGGTCCTGTTGCCTGGAAAATTGCATCGAGGAGAATCAAAACCGTGTTGCCCTCTGGAGTCAAATTTGGTTTAGGTTGGGTTGGAGAGAACCCAGCAGGACCCGAAGAGGATGATCCTCAAAAACAAGTCTTATTAATGTCGTCAGGGAAACAGAAGTGTTCTAACGATTTAGCGTCTGATGATCATTCAAACAGAATCCTGTCTCCGACTGCTTCCGTCTCTAGTGCTTTCATAGGTAACAGACATTCTTCTTCTCAAGGCATCGAAGAGACCGCGCCACCACCCACTCGTGTCTTGAATCCAGAAACTGAGTACCCATCATCGTCCTCTCGCCAGTCAGGACCGCTGATCAAACCCGAGAGCATCAATGGCCTCACCCACGGTTTCAGTGGATTCGGTCATAATCCAACTTCAATGCCAGGAATCGCGAGACAGCAACAACCAAACTTGGCCAAGGAGGCCATACCGGGATCGCAACAGCAAGGGTCGTTTCCTTACATCAAACAGGAATTCCACCGATTTCCTCCGGACCTTAACGCTAGGCTCGTGTCACCAAACTCTCCCGGCTCTAATCCGCAGACTGGTTCGTCCTCGTCGCAGCATCCAGATCTGGCATTACAGCTCTGAAGATGAATGGATCTTTGA